CCTCTCTGCCGCCAGATTCCTGCTCAAGCGCCTTGATTGCATAATGTCTATTTGCATAATGTAAATTGCAATCTCCTAGCTTGGGAGGCAGGGATCACAGAACAGCCATTATTTTTTTACCACTCCACAAAAATTCTACATTTAGAAAGCAGATTTGCAGCTCAGAAAGCCGTATAAATCTGAATCTGCCACAAATGTCATTAAATCACACCAATTAAGCCAGACCAACGAAGAGCCCCTGTCACCGTTGTCTGCACACTCAAGGACTCCCAGGCCAGATGGAGGCCACGAAGAAATGGAGGCTGTGGCAGCGGGGCTGCAGCAGGAGCTGCAGAGGCAGGAAATTCTGTCTCATAAACCTTCACACACACACCCCCCAAGCACAGGCCCCACCAAGACCTGGCGGGCGGAGGACGGAGAGGGGGCGGAAGTGGTTTGAGTTATTTCTAAGCTTGTTGCCTGATTTCTTGAGGGCACTTGGTCTGCAGACTTTTAATTTACGGAGCAGAGGAGAGCATGCGGGGAAGAAGCCTGCATCTTCCGCAAAGGGAAGGGGAGATGCCAGGTATTTCATGCAAGGGTGAAAAGTCCAGGCCTTCAGCAGCTCTTTAATGACCTTTTTCTGTCTTCTCCCAAGTCCCCTCCAGCCAAGTGAAGGAAAACCGGGGACAAATCCTGCCCTGACTGGGCTGGGCTGGACCGGATTCTGAGAGCTGTTTCCTAGGGGCCACTGGAGAGAGAGGTGAGTCACAAGGTCCCTAGAAAGGGGCCTTCCCTCCGACAACCACTCATGATTCCAGTTTCCCCGCAGCCATGTACCTGGTTACTTTTTTGCCTCTTTATTGCTCATTCAATATTCATCTGTCAAAGGGCAAGATGCTAATGTGTATTATTAAAATATCAATAGTTCATGAGTGAACTTTTATGGAGAATACAGTTAAAGGAAAGATGCTAGACCATCTCTGTCAGCAGCAACGGAGAGGAACAGTCTTTCCATCTCTACTTTTTCCTAACTTACTGGGTGAGTGGATGGCTGAACCATTACTGTATACATATTGTGTGCCAGGAATGGCTCTAAAGCTCGCACGTGCTGGATTTCATTTAGTCCTCACAGCCGTCCTGGGAAGGGTGTACAATCCCATTTCCATTCTAGAGACAAGGAATCCGAAGACCAAAGAGATGTATGCAGAACCACAGAGGTTCTAAGTCATGGGGCTGAGACTCAAACCCCAGCTTTGGACTTCAAACCCAATGTTTTTCCCCCCAAGTTGAAGCCTTGAAAATACAAATGATCTTTTAGTTTTTTATCTGTTTCCTTCACCTGCCCAAATTAAACATTGGTTTCCTGACCTAAGTTTCACAAAAGGGGAAAGGAGAGAACAGGAAATCATTCCGTGCTTTCACACAGGCCCATTTCCACAAAGCCGGCCTCCACGTTAGAGGTGTCTAAGTCAGTTCCCAGAATCTTTTCTGCACATTTAGAATCTTAGAACTGAGGGTAACATTGGAGGTGATGTCATCAGACATCCCCTGTTACAGGAGAGTAGACTTGAGTTTCTTGGAGCCGCATAATGAAGTGACGAAGTCTCTAGCATAGAGTCATAAGCTTGATTTCAACTCTGGGACTCACTTACTGTGTCACTGACTACGGCACCTCACTTGTCTCTGAGCCTCTGCTCCCTCTCTGTATGTAATACCAAGATGGTAACAGTGTCTCATAAAACAGTGCGAGGGTTTCAATAAGAACATGCACAGCACGTGCTGAGCAGTGTCTAGCATGTAGTAAGTGCTCAACAAACGAGTTATTACTATTAATATTAAGTCGACTTGTGGAAGACTCCAAGACTCTCCTGCCAAAACTTTTCATCAAAACCAAGCCCCTTTGCCCCTCTCTTCCCTGCCCCCTCCCTTTCACCGTTAGCCATTCTCATATCTTGGCCCTTTGGAAAAACCAACTGGTTCTGCTCCCACCCTGTGGTTGCTTGAGTTTTGTTTCTATCCCCTTAAGTCACAACAAGGCATCCAGGGTACTCAGATTCTCTTCCAAAACTTAGCTGCATCCGGGTCGGGAAAATGGCAAAGGAACTGGAGCCTGGTCCTCAAAGGCCCCGCCTCCACAGGTTACAGTGTGTGTGGCAGAGAGGAAGCATGGAGAGGAAAGGACACGAGGATCACGGAGGACGGGCTGCCCGCATAGCCCACGCCCCCTGCACACCCTGACAGACCCAACAGCCCCTTCGGTCTGATCTTTGGCTGAAGCCTCCCCCAGCCCGGAAGGCCAGGGAGTGGAGGGTTGTGGGAGCTATGCCTGGGAATGAAGGGCTCAAGGCTTGTGGAGTCCTTGTCACAGGTCTAAGGCCCTCTCCAGACCTGGCACTTCAAGCTGTGGGTTGCAAACTGGACCCATTCTTGCAGAGAAGGACTATAACGTAGCGCAGGGCTCCGCAGCCTGTTAGGAACCGGGCTGCACAGCAGGAGGTGAGCGGCGAGCTAGCAAGCTTCATCTGCGCTCAGCATGGCTCGCATTACCGCCTCAAGCATCCCTCCCCTCCCCCACCCCACCCCCACCCTCCCGATCCCGGGAAACTGTCTTCCACGAAACCAGTCCCTGGTGCCAGAAAGGCTGGGGAGCGCTGTGGTACCAACTGCAGGGCCTCCTAACACCAGCGTGTCCTCGGGGAATGCCCCCTGGGGGCAGAGCCTAGCCTGGCTGTGGGGGGCGGTGCCTTTAAAGCCAGACATTGGGTGGGTTTAGACAGTCTGGTTCTTGGAGGCAGGTTTCCTTAGCTGCCTCGGGAGTAGATGAGGCTGTGCTGGGCCAGGCCTGAGTAGTGCTCCCCAAAGACGGCTGCTACAACATAGTACCCCCAAACACACTCTTCATCTGATGTGCTGTGGATACTCCTGCTTTGAGACGTGGCTGCAGGGGCAGTGTCCATGTCCCCTTCTCTAAACCCAGGTGGGCCTTTGTGCCTGCCCCCAACCAGGGCAACGTGTGAACGTGATACTGCTGGGCTTGGGCAGTGCAGCCCCGTCGATCCACGTTATGAAGATGTCCAGGCCACGTGGAAAGGGCACGTGGACCTGGTGGACAGCCCCAGCTAGCGCCTCAGCCAACAGCTGGTATCCACCCCCAGAGGGATGAGCGAACGAGCCTCCAGATGATTCCAGCACCCAGCTTCTGCCCCAGCAGAGACCCCAGACCTGTGGATCAGAGGCAATCTCCCCACTGTGCCCCATTTGAACTCCTGACTCACAGAATAAATGAGCATAATGAACGGTGTTAAGTTACTATGTCTTGGGGTGGTTTGTTACACAGCCATAATAACTGGAACATCACTTGAATTAAATTAGAATGTTTGCTGTTTCCCTCTCAAATCCAGCCCTCACTTCAGAATTGCAGACTGTTCCCTCCTCCGCAGGTCCCGTCCCACCTTTTCTTCCTCCCCCTCCAAAAGGCAGGCTCCTCCTTAGCAAAAAACACTCCCAGGAAGATCCTTTGAATCTTCCCCTTTCAGAGTCCCAGGACCTGAAGATCCCCACTCTTCCTCGTTCCTCTGTGCGGGTCCCAGAGTGTCCCTACGAGGGAGGTCCCCCTGGTGTGGGTGGGCCCGGGCCAGGCGCCCGGCTGTTCTCGGGGACAGGAACGGAACGTGCAGACTTACTTCCCCTACACGCACCCCGGTCTCAGGAAGCTTCACGCTCGGCTTGCTCCTCTCATACTGACTTGACTGATGAGGTCCCGCTAACCTCCGGTGCGAGGAGACATCGATTCTCGCAAAGGTCATTATCTTCCTACTCTGGCTCACCCCACCCCGGCCCCATCTCCTAGGTAGGCTTTCCTGGAACAGGATGGAGGGAGGCACCCTTCCCCGGCCCGGTGTCTGGGGATCGACCACTCCAAGCCGGGCGGAAAGGGGATGCCCTGGGAGCCGCGCCCTGTCAATCACAGAGGCACCAGCACTGCCGCGCAGGCCATTAGGCGGAGGGCCGGCGCCCTGCTCACTCACGGGGCAGCCATCGGCAGGATGTTAGACGATCGCAGGGTGGCCATTCTTATGATTTATTCAAATGCTCATTACAGTCCATCTATTTTTACGCAGAGGTGAGGATGTGCGCTGATAACGTTTAATCATTTAAAATTCCGTCGACTGGTTGGGAGCCAATGTACTATCAAAGTCGCAGCCACTCAGCCCCCGGGAGCCCCCGAAGCAGGGTAGGGAAGCTGTGCAGCCCCAGGCCAGCCCTTTCAGCTGACATTGCCTGAGCGGCGCCTAGGTGGAGGGTGCAGAGGGGAAACAAGGAGCAGGGGATCCCAGGCTAGCCTCCAGGAGCTCACAGCCTCGCTGAGGGCACACGGCGAACTGCGGGCAGGGGGATGCCCAGCAGAAGGATGAGGCACAGCATCTCAGAAGAGGGAGAAATCACTTCTAGCTGGATTACCGGAGGAGGTCGCAACGAGCAGACTGGACTTAGGCCAGGGCCTACAGGTGCGAAGCCTTATGCCAAGTGGGAGAACCAATATGAGGAAATACACAGACGGATAAGGCGGGGAGCAGCTCCTGTGCTGATGGAAGGGAGGCGACCAGCAGTACCTCCTTTTTCCTCCCTCGTGTCTCTCCAGAAACAACCAGACATAAAAGCAAGCGCGAGCTATGAACTTGGCCCAGGTCCTCCTCTCACGGCCTCCAAAGCTTAGCCTGCCCTTGCAACCTCTAGAGCTTCCCTCTCCAACACTCATGACACGCATAACACATCATGTCCACCTTAACGCACAATCAATACAGTCTAATTAAATAGGATGTCATGTTACAGGGCCTCTTCGTCACATTCGGACCTCATCTAATTAGAGGTCCACTGTATTTCACATTCTGACCAGCTCATTGAGACAGAGCGCATCTCTCACACAATGCGTGGCTGTGAAAGATCAGGTTCAGGGCTGGTCTTTAACCCATAACCTTATTGAGTCAGCATGGAAAACGCCAATCAGAGTTACTCACAGTTCACAGTCCCTTTTCTGGTGAGCGGCATGGAGGACGGCAAGCCTCAGAGTCCTGCTCCAGAGTCAACCTGTCAGCGAAAGAAAACATCTTTATAGACCGTGTATGATTCTGCTGGGAGCGAGCACCAAGATCGGATGGGGGTAAACCCAGAAGTGGGTCCTGCTCCGGAGCACAGCCAGGGCTGGCAGCCCTGTGTCCCCATTGCTGAGTGGGGGGAGTTTCCTGAGCAAGGAGCTCCTGGTGCAAAACGACGGTTGTTTAGAGGACGAACCAGGACGGAGAGACAGGATTTCTTGCGAGTTTCATCCCCTTCCGCAGAGAAAGAGAGGCTCATGGCTGTGGAGAGCGCTGAGCTGACCAAGGCAATGATCATTTACTGATGCCACCTGTCTGACGGAAGACCCCGTGCAGGGGGACAGAGCTGAGCAGCCCCTGGGGAAGCTGGCAATCTGTATGGGGGAGCTGCCCGAACAAGCAAACGCCACCACCGATGCTGTGGTTTATGGCAGGATTATGGAAAGTCCAGATGTAGGAGGGTACTTTCAAGTAAAAGTGAAGAGTCCCATTGGGTTAGAAGGGAGATGTGCATGGAGAAAAATGATGGGGGCGTGACTGGAAAGATCAGAAAACATGACTGCTTTTAATTCTCTTCTTGGGATAAAGCAATAACAACAAGAAGAAGAAAAACCCAGCACATATTTATCAGGTGTCTGCTCCACGAGCTACACTTTCCAGGTGCAGCAGGAATGAAATCCACAGCTCCTGTAATAAAAGTGCCGCCACGTCAGTGGTGAAATAAGAATATCATATGAAACATCATCCAATAAGACGAGAACATACCTAAAGTAGTGCTGAACTATGTGGTAGAGACCATAACTCTCTCTCCACAGAGAAACGAAGTTGGCGACAGCTGGGGCCTTCAAGGAAGTTTTCAGGGGGAGGCAGACCTTGACTGGGGTCTTGGAGGACTGGTCAGGAAAGATTCGGCCGGTGGAAGAAGAGAGAGGGCATTCCAAGAAAGGGAGCACTCTGAGCAAGGGTGATGGGGGAAAGCATGGAGTGACCAGGGACAAGGCAAGGGCTGGGCCGCCTGAGAGACTAGAGGAGGGAGTAACTCTGAGTAAGCAGGGAGAGGCCAGAGCATCCGGGCTCTGAGTGTCAGGCAGAGAGGCCAGGCTTGCGCTGTGAGCTCCTGGAGCCACTGAAGGTTTTCCAACAAAGGAAGGTCATGAAGAAGAGGACACTCCCCACCCCATCACTCTTTAGTATTTTCCTTTTAATTAAGACAGAGAGGCTCCCTGGAAGAGATAGAATTTCAGATAGAAGATTCAGGCATGGGGTGTAATACAACGCGCTCATGGAAAGATGTCCCTCTTGTTCATGATGATGTCGCCCAGGAGGAGGCACTTCCTCTGGGGCTGTCTACTAATATCTCCAGGACCAAGACTGGTGACTCACGGAAGGACCTCAGAGACGAGGCCAGACCACTGCAGGCAAGTGCGTGAGGATGACTGCACCTTATGCATCTTTATAGCCCAGCATGTGTCAGGTTCTCAGCAAGTGTCTGTTGAAATGTTCAGTGACGGACTCTGTTCATTCTAGTCAGTTTCCACAACCAGCCCCTGGCTGGCAATGGGCTCCAACTCGTAATCTTCTAAACTACTGACACATGACTAATGAGCATACGTGAACTCAGTACAGGAAGTTTCTAGGCTGAATTGCATGGAGTGGGGATTTATCCCTGCCCTCTTGGGACTGTCGAGACACCAGCGACTTGGAAGAAGATATGGCAGACTTGCCATTTGCACATGCTGCTACGCTGTGAAGGACAGCCACTCTGCTGGGGAGATGGATTCTGATGGGCAGTGTTATAAAACTTTGAACAAGCTAAAAGGATGGCCCAAAACTAAAAAGTTAATTTTTTCCTCTACCAGTTTTTATTTCTTGCACAATAACATCATGACAACCATAAATTAAATAAATTTGAAAATTTAAAAAAATTTCCCACAATCCCATCACTCTAAACCATCATATTATTACAGTCTATGCCCACATGCAAATCCAGTTTAATTTTTTTTACAGAGTTGTAGAAAAAGATTTGACACGAATAAATATACCAAACCCTACTCTTACATTCAAAAATCAATTGCAAAAATCACAGATTGGGGTGACCTGTTTCTTTTAGAAAAAAAAGACAAGGGTTATTTGAGTTAAATCCAAGCAGAGGTAGAGCCCAGGGTATGGTGTTGCTGCCAAACCCATTACATTGATCCTAGTTCCCTAAGTAGCTGTACGGTGGCCAACCAAGGGGAGAATCGTCCCCTCGCTTTAGACTTATCAACCCACATTACTTTTAGATGCAGCTGTGGCATCATGTTTAATAAATTTGACAGTGACGAGTAGAAGAGAGAGGTGAGCAAAGACATCTGGCTCTTTTAACTAAAGTTAAAAGTTTAGTAGTTAAAAGCGCAAGCTCTGTAAGCAGACTGTACAGGTGTCCATCCCAGTCCCATCACTTCCTGGCAGTGGGCCCACCGGCAAGTTACTTAACTTCCCTGCGCCTCGGTTTTTCATCTGTAAAATAGGGCTAATGAGGGTTCTGCCTCTGAGGTCGGCTGTGAGGGTTTGATGAGTTCATATACCGTAAAGCGCTTAGAACAGTACCTCACACAAAATAAGCACTCATTGCATGTTAGCTGTCATTGTTGTTATTTTCCTTATTAGGAGGCCATGAGACAGAAGATATGGGAGAAGAAATTAGAGATGGACCTTCATTTGTCCCTCTCTAATATGACCCATCGGTCCTACCTAATTCTATTGACTAAAGCAACAATCTCTCTCCCACCAGGTGGTCCTCCAAATATTTGAAGAAACTATGTGACAGAGAGGCTGCGTTGCTATACACGGTAGCATTAGGGCTAACTGATAGATATCAGAGGAAGCCAATCCTCAGTTCAATACAAGAAAGACTTCTCTAGTCCTGTGCACCATCCAGCAATGAGTTAGGCTTCCTTGAAAGGTAGTGAGCTCCCAACACGGCAAACGGAATCCTGTATTGGGTGAGAAGATGTCCCAGAGAGCATGGTCTCCCAGACTTGGCTTCCCCCATCCGTAAAATGTTAAAAAACATTGTGAGGCTGGGAGGGTTGACAAATATGTATATTGATAAAACATTAATAGTGTCTTCTTTCACCACCGTTTCATAAAGTAATTCAACCCCCAAAAGTAAGGAGAGCAAAAAGGACCACCTTAAAAAAAAAAAAAAAAGGACCACCTTTTGAACTCTTTGAAGTGAATGGAGCATCATGAAAAGCATCCCCCCCACCATCTCTGTCTCTTCTCTCTTTCTGTCTCTCTCTCTCTCTGTCTCTAACTCTCCATCTCTCTCTCACACACACACATATACACACATATGTGCACCTGCAACCTCTCCACGGTGTCCTTGTTTTTCACTCCTCACCATGCACCAGCAGACACGTGCTGGGGAACCACGTGTGTGACACTTTGGGGCCTTCCAAAGCCAGAAGCCTGTAGTCCTGGAAGGCAAGTGATCATGTCAAAGGCCTTCAGACAGCAGCCCTGCAATAACGCAACCAGAATTGAAACTCAGGCCTACCTTACTCACCATGAAGATAAACTTGAATCATAAATGGAATTGAGCATTCACATTTATAAATATGAGGACATTTATGAAATGGTAAATGAGAGAGCTGATGAAAGTTCATTGTTAAGAGGTGGGGAGAAGTATAGAAGAAAGCTTCCCACGGGAGGGAGCACACTAGAACTTGACCCTCCATGCCCAAGGACAGCTGAGCGAGCTCCCACGAAGCATCCTAGGTAAGTTGAAAGGATGAACAGAGATGAGCCTGGGGCTTAGCAAGGACCACAGAAGGCGCTAGACCAAGGGCGTCATGGGTTCACACCCTGAGTCCATCGTTCACTTACCGTGTGATCTTGGACACGGAACTTTGACCACTCCCTGCCTCAGTTCCCTCATCCGCAAAATGATAGGGCTTGACTCGATGGTCCTTGAACCAAAATTCCATCTGACATCTATACATCTCTGAAGCTGCCCAGACTCACCCCCAGATCACAGCTCAGTATATGATTGTGGGTAAGAGTAAAGACACGGGAGTCAGACAGTTCTGAGGTTAAGCCTGGGTCCATCACTTTCCTAGCTTTAACCTCTACAAACCTCAAGGTTCGCACCTTTAGAAGGGGGATAAGGGTAGCGCCTTTAAGTGAGATGATGCGCCGAGAGCATTTTGTGCAATGCCTGGAACATATTCATAACGACGAATAAGGCTGCTGTTGCTGTCTTTCAGTGTTAGGAGGGCTAACAGCCCAGGAGGGCTAGCAGAGTCTGGATGGGAAAAGGGAGACAAATCAAGAAGCCTGAGGGCTTCTGCATTCATCCCACTGCCTGTGACAGGCTCCTCTGTTACTACCCCAGCCAGACCTTTAGGATGAGGACAGATCGTGACAACCTGTTCTCAGGCCCCGAGAATCTCTCTGGATGGTCCCCATCTCTGAGAAGCCTCTGTAGGCACATGAGCAAAACTCCCAAAAGAGAAAGAAAACTTGAATAGACCCTCCCAGGAGGAAACGCCTGCAGGGCCACTCGTCCCCCCACAGTGTGTCCTGCGTCTCCCACCTCATCACCAGAGTCCCCTCTCTGCTCCACATCTGCTCCCCTCGCCCCCTGACGACAGCTCGCCGTGGTTTACGTTAGTCCAGTGAGGCTGTCAGCGACAGCATCACAGACCCTGGCCACCAGGCTCTCAAAGACACAACAACTGGGTAACTGAATACTGAGAGGATCACCTGGCACTAAATGTGTGGCTCTGAGAAACGTACCCACCCAGCACTGAGGGTGCTGTGCAGGCTTCCTCAAAGCCTGGTAAGAACAAGGCTGATTCCCCACTGTCCTCAGACCCCTGGGCTGCAGGCAGGGCTGGGCACCCAGCTGCAGAGGACCTGGAAATTGTCCCTCAGCCATGCTCTCCAGGCCCCGTCCAGGCCCGAGACTCTAAGCTGGACCCCGTTCCTGTAAGTGGGCACCCTTGGAGGTGAGAAAACACCAAGACCTGAGACGTGCTTATTCTCCATCGGGAGCACCCCTGCTCTTCTTCCTGGCCCATCGTCGCTGACCTGCCTCAGGCCTCCTTCTCTCCCCAGGGCCCCCAATCCGTCTCCTGGCCTCCAGCCTGGCCCCGCTTTTGCCCACCCACTACCTCCCATGGCCTGGGATCTTCCTGAAACACAAATTGCGTCATGTTTGTTCCTCCTCAAAACCCTCCAAGAACAGCTCAGTGCTGGCAGAGGTCACCCACTGGCAGCCCCTAGCTGGCCTCTTGCCCGTCTGATGTTTTTGTAAATTCTGCCAACATCTGAAAAGTGAGACATTTCACATTTGAAAATCCAGGCTCCTAAGTTTTCTCTAAAATTTGGATGACCTAACAACGCTGATCTTGCATTTCCACGTGGCAATCACCAGATGAGGCTGAGTATCAGAGGCCCCCATTTTCATCAGGCACGGGTCCTCCTGTTTGCCCCCCAGAGAGAGGACAGGTGTGCCTGGAAGCCGCTTCAGTCGCAGGGTGGGGCACCTGGAGGCTGACGCACGCTGCTTGCTGAGGGTTCAAGGTGACAGCACGGAGGTGGCTCATTATACTCTCAGCTGCGCTGTTCCCAGCCAGGCCCCCCAAGGGTCCCTCCCTCTCTCACGCCCCTGGGCAGCTCCTCCATTCCAAGTCAGGAGACAGCCGGCAAAGGTCTTAGGGATTTTTCCAGGAATGCCAGTGACTACCAGGCAGGTGCTGAAGAGGCCCCACCCCAGGGTCCAGCCTCTCCTCACCCCCAACTCAGTGGAGGCTGCGTCCCCTCCCTTTATTTCCATCCAACTGTTCCCATCAAAGCCCTAACAGCACATATTTTGTTAATTGTACAAACCTAATGGGGGAATGCATTGGCAAAAAGGGTAATGGCCATCAGACCAGCAATAAAACAAAATTAATGGCCCATAGGAAGAAATCATGTCCACTTAATCCCGGCTCTGAAACTCTAATAGAATAATGGAATACCAGCAGAGGGGTTTTTCTCTCCATGCAGATTGCTTACACCATGTTAGTCACTTGCAAAGCAGGCCACATACCACTCGGCTCACATGACCCTCCAGGGAAAGTAGCAGACCAGAAACATTTAGTGCCAGGCTCATTACTGACATGCATCACCAGCGGCAACACCTTCCCCCATCTCTGCCTCCCCAGGTGACTCCAGGACAGCCAGTGTGAGGTGTCATTGCAAGCCATCAGGTGTGGTAGGCCGGAAAGTGAGACACATGATACCTAATAATAGCAGACGTTTGTTGAGTTCTTACTATGTGCCAGACACTGGGCTGGCTGAGCACTTTCTATGTACTGTATTATAACATCTTCATCTTCTGGGGCTGCAGAGTCCATCAAGATAGCCACTAGCCACATCTGCCTTTCTAAATACAAATTCTAATTAATGAAAGTTAAATAAAATCTAAAATCCAGTCTTCAGCCTCAGTGGCCGCGTTTCAGGTGCGCGACAGCCCTGTGTGGCTAGTGGCTGTTGTACCGGGAGCTCCGGCTAGACGGTCTTTCCATTGGCACAGGCGGCTGTACTGAACAGCGCTGCTCCAGAACTTCGAGACCGTTTTAGCTCGCCCATTTAACAGATTCTGAAATCAAGGCACAGAGAGGTGAGGCAAGCTGCCCAAGGTCGTGGCTGATCTGGGTTCTAGCCCAGGTCTAAGTCAGCCTGCCTCCGGAATCCCGACCCTCCGCACTATTTCTTGATACAACCAGCAGTCCAGGCAGCTGGGAGGCCTTTGGAGGGAAGTGGGCTGTAGAAAGGCCCTTCCGTCCGCTGAAGGCCCCACGACCCCCAGAGAGCAGACAGACCCCAGTGCTCCACTGGGGTCTCCCCACAGTGAGACCACTGTGGGGTCTCAAACCCGGGAAGGTCATCTGGAGAGGGAGGTCTTCATACATCACCCAGCCCAACCTCCTTCAATTTACGGGGGAAGAAACCAATGCACAGAAAATTCAGTGGCTTGTCCAAGGTCACACAGCTGATTAAGAGCAGTTAGGACTACAGTCCAGGTTTCCTGACGGCCGGTCCTCACTGGCCGAGGGAGAGGACAGAGCCATGCCCTGAGAGAAGGTGAGAGAAGGAGGCGGTGTCCCTCCAGCCGTCCTGGAGGGTCCTGGGTCAGGTCAGAAGAGGCTGGGATGCGCCTAGGGGTACTTGGCTCCGAGGAGAAGAGGCAAGGGAAGAACGAGGGGCAGGCACCAGCCTAGAAACTGCAGCGCTTCAAAGCATGATACTGCATTGCTACTATCTTTGGGGAAAATAGTATAGCAGGATCTATCGCAATTAAAAATACACATACACTTTTCCTCAGCCGCCCTAGTTTGAGAATGTACCCTATAAAAAGAAAAGCACCCAGGCATGAGGACAATGCAGCAGCTCCTGCAGTGGGACAAAGTGAAAAACAAGCTAGATGTCCACCAGTAGGGAATGTTCGGGTAACCTGTGGTACAGCTATACTATCAATAAATGCAACTATTCTAAAGAACGAGTTAGAGCTACATCTTTTGCCGTGAGAGATGGCCGTAATGTTCCAAGTAAGCAAAGTAAGTAGCAGACTGATGTGTGCGGTGTGATTCCATCTTTGTAAAAGCGGACAAACTCCAGATGGAGTGCATCCACGTGCATAAGTCTGTGTGAGCACAGAGGTGGTGTGGAAGGAACAGCCCGGATGTTCACATGGGCGCGAGGGCCCACCGTTGTTAGCACACCTTTGCCTTGTTTCGGGTTGCAGAGAGCGCTGCCCCTTCTGTAATTTTTGAAAAGAAACTCAATAAGGAAAAGAAAAATAATTGATATAAGAAAGAAAAAGAGGTTGGACTTCGGAGGCAGCCAGACCAGACTGCAGACCTGCTTACTTACTGGCTGCATTGCATCGGGCAATTTCCTTAACCTGTGTCCATCTTGGTTTCCTCACCTGGAAACTGATGATAATAATATCATAAAGGGAGGTTGAGGAGAGATGGATGAGAAAATGAATTTAAAGCTACTCAACAGCCTGGGCCTTTTTATCAATGTTGAGGGACTAGTCTGCCCAGTACACAGAGGTACGTTCTGGATCGACCCTGCTGGCCGCTGTCGTAGGACTTAACCAGATGCTTCTCAAGGCCCCCATATTCTGCCTTATATTACAGTTCTATTATGTCTATCTCCCTCCCAGACCGTAAGTTCTTTGTGGGCAGGGACAGTACCCTGCTTCTTTATTCATTCATTCGATCATCCGTTTATTCCATTTATTATTAAGTTAATAATAACTGAATAATTATGTCTTAGGCATATGCACCAAGCACTGTGTCTGACATTAGAGATGTAACAGTGAACGAAACAGAAAAGTCCCTGCTTTCGTGGGGCTCGCGTTCTAATGGGGGAAACAAACTATAAATACAATTATACAATGTCAAGAGATGATAAGCAATAAGAAAAAAATTCAACAGGCTTGGGAGCAGAAGCGACTGAGAAGGGAGGGGCATCTTAGAGAGAGGAGACAGGAAAGAGCCTCAGAGCTCACTGAGAAAGTACTCTTCGTGGCATATGCCGCAGACCCAGTGAGGTTAGTAGTTACGCAAACGATGTTAGTTTAAGAACAAAATAAAAATAGATTTGATGGAGAGCAGAGAATAATTAAGGCACCTTAGAAAACATCCCTTCACTTCTGGGTAGACACCCCAAAGGATTGAAAGCAGGGACTCAAAAAGACAATTTGTACCCCACGTTCACAGCAGCATCATTCACAGGAGCTGAAAGGTGGAAGCAACCTAAGCGTCCGTGGACAGGTGATGGATAAACAAAATGTGGTCTCTATGTAAAATGGGATATCGTTCAGCCTTAAAAGAGGAAGGAAATTCTGACACGTGCTGCAACGTGCTGGAGAACATTATGCTACGTGAAGTAATCCAGTCACAGAAGGACAGATACTGTATGAGTCCACTCACATGAAGTACCGAGAATAGTCAAATTTACAGAGGCAGAAAGGAGAATGGCGGTTGCCTGGGGTTGGGGGAGAAGAGATGGGGAGTTTTAGTGAATTGATACAGAATATCAGTTTTGCAAGATAAAAGGGTTTTGTAAACGGATGGTGGTGATGGTTGTACAACAATATGAATGTGCTTAATGCCACTGAACTGTACATTTAAAAATGGTTAAGATGGTAAAGTTTGTTATGTGTATTTTACCACAATTTTGAAGAAGAGGATAAGGGAACCCAGGGCAGACAGAGAGAGCAGGGAACCCCAAGTCTCTGCAGCCACAGCGGGGGGAACACAAGAGACTGGGGCTCCCAGGCCAGTTGGCCAACAGGGGAGGCAACTTTCCTATGGAAACATCTGAGCCAAGGTGATTCCAGAGGGCTGAGGCTGGACAAATGAGACACGATTTAGGGTGAAAAAGAAAAGGAACTGGTGGGAGGTGGGCAGCGACGGAGAGCCCTGGGCCCCTTTCTAGTCTGAAACGAAAGACAGTCAAGGAATGTATCTACAGCAATAAAACGGTGAGCAGGAAATCTAAAAGGAGAAGGAATCAGAGGCCAAGAACAAGAGGGGAGGATCTGGTCTTCCAGTCTGATTCGGCAGTGAGCAGTATGGTGTGCTGGAAAGGGTTTTAGACAGAACCTAGGGGATGGTGCTCGTTTCCCCGTCCCTTTGACCCTCTGTGTGTCACCCTCACTCTCTGGGTCTCAACTCCTTTGTCTACTGAACCAAGTGGCTGGATCAGAGCAAAAGGAATCTTAAGGTTTTAGGGGTCCACAAACCCCTTGAGACTTTATCCAGAATGGTATTTGTGTGTACATTTTTCTTTAGAGAGATTTCCAAATTTTATG